ATTGATAAATTTAATTTAATAATTGATAAATTAAAAGATAATATTATTTTTTCAATATAAATTTATGACAAAAAATATATTTATTACAATTTTAATATGTACCTACCTAAATTTAAAAAATCCTTTTCATAATAATTAATGAGAAAATTAAGGAATATGTTAAAAAATTCTTTATTAATTAGATAGTTTAATTAAATTTAAGAAATAATTTATAAAAATTATTGAAGTATATAATATAATATTAATTAATTATAATAAAAAATCATTATTTTATTAAAAAATATCACTTAAAAGTATGTATATTATATAATATTAATTAACTAATTAAAAAATTAATTAATTAAAAAATATATATTATTATTAAAAACAAATGAGGTAAAAGCAAACAAAAATGCAGGTGCAGTGCCACGGAAGCCGATGACAAACGGCGTCAGGAAGCCAGTTAGCGGAAGGGCTGATTTGCACCCATCGTGGGGTTGGAGGGCTTATTTGCCACTTTTTAGTTCAGGGGCTTATCACTTGCTGTCGAAAAAGTTGAGGGGCTTAAGATGGGTTTTTGCCCAGTTTAATTTAATAATATCACGGAAGCGGTCTACATCTGGGCCTTTTAATTTGGACTCTCAGATCCGGATTCATCGGAATACCATGCAAGTGCAACCCTCCGGGCTCCCCTCCAAGAAGTTAGCCGTTGCAACTAAGCTCGGGCCAAAAATCTTTGACAGCCGGTTGAGGCCAAACACAAAAATGCGGCCGAACGAACTCTACGCTTCTAGTTTCAGAGCACTGCTGCGATTTGGGGACCGAAGAGTAACAGAAAGGCGAGAGATGAACAGTACAGAAGAAGGCGAGAGATGTACGGTGTCTTCAAAGTCCAAAGCATCAGCCGATCGACGTTACTCTCTAAACCAGACTAATTATGTATATATATAAGGAGATAGCGATGGGAATTTCCCTGATCCCGGACCCCATTCGATCTCTGTTACGGAGACGGGGTAAAGAGAAATATTTTTTTCCATTAGGCGGGAATAGGGGTATTTTTCCCCCAAAAAAATTAATAAGGAATTTTCCTCACCTCATGGAACTTCATGGTCTTTCCAGTGAAAAATTTAAAAATATATAAATTAATTTTATTTTAAATTTTATTTAACTCATCACCAAACCTAAACCCAACTTTAAACTCAAACCTAATTCAATAAAAATTAAATTTTACCTAACTCAACCCATTATTAACCCTGATCTTATTACCTTATCATCCCATCAGTCATCACTCACTCTAACCTTTCCCTTGTTGCCGTAAGTACCAAACTACTGACTGCGCCAAGTTCCCCTGCAGAGGCAGACCATTTATCTACTTATTTTTGTTTTGCTGGTCCGAAAACTCAAGCGCAGAGTTTGTTCCCTGCACCTGCAAAAGCAGATCTGCTTATTTTGCTTTTGCTGCTCTGAAAGCTCCAACATTCAGTTATTTTGCTCTTCTTCGTCCATCTCACTTGGTGTTCTTTTGTTGTTTCACATTTTCATCACATTGAATATGTTTTTCTTTTTTTTTTTTGGCTTTTTGGTTCTACTTATTGATTTGATTGCTAAATTCGTTCTACTTGTTGATTTGATTCTTAATTTGTCTCTCTGTTGCATGATCCAAAAGTAGATCTACTAGATTTTTCTTTTTTTTCTTTTGTGATTTAGATCTATTAAGTGTTAATCTTTGATTAATCTTATATTCAAGCGAATTTTTTTATGCAAAAACTGATGTTTTTTGTCCATAGACATGATTCCCTCTTAAGTCTCTTGGGTTCTCTAATTTCTTCTTGATTATCAAAAGGCTTAATATTTTTTTGGATATAAATTGACGGGGAATAGGAACGGAGGGCAAAATCCATCCCTTGTAAAAAATCCCCACAATGATCCTTGTCCTCGCAAATCATTGGGATGGGGATGGGGACAAGGAGGGACTTCTTGCCCCCGTAGGGCCTCGTTGCCATCTTTATAAGGAGAGGTATAAAGCAGATGAAATTAAGAATGATATAGCACAGTTATATAAAATTTTAATTTTTTTATTTTTAATTATTAAAATTTATTACAATTTTTTTTTAAAAATAATTATTTTCAATAAATATAATAAAAATAAATAAATTTTTATTATTTAAAATAAAAGACAAATAATTAAAATTATATATATAATGTGTAAAACTTATATATAAGAAAAATCACTTTTACATATATATCTATCTATATCTATATATGTATATATTTGCATCGGTTAAAATGTCATTTTGGTTTCTCAATTTTTCACTTTAGCACCAAATTGTCTCTTAACTTTAAAAAATATCCAAATTATTCTTAAACTTTTATTTTGGTATTAAAATGGTCCTTTTGTCAATTAAATAGACAGTTGGCATGTTAAAATTCTACAAAATCACTGGATTTTTTTAATTTTAATGACGTATAAATCCAACGAGGCAAATTTGACATTTTTTTATTATTGTTTCACAATTATTCAACCCTAAAGAAAAAAAAAAATTCATCTTCTTCTTCCTTTCCTCCTTCAACAGTTTTGCCTCCTAATTTT